CAGGGTGTCATGGTGATAATGAAGCCCATCTTACCAGTAAACCTTTCATTGGCTTGATTCTTGTATGCTTCTGCCTGAGTTTTTCTATCTTCATCAGCCTTCAGTGATGACTGAAAAATACATAAATGACCTAAGAGCTACAAATTATGAGGCACATAACAAATACCAAAGAAAATGTAGACTGACAGCTGTCTTCTTAAATTTATAAAAAGTCCTCACAGAGTTCTGTCTCTTCAATCAACACAACAGCTGGATAAACCAAGTTCACACACTATTACAATATTCACTACTGCATTACAATATATTATTACATTATCACACAACATCATGACATTACACATAATTTAACACAGCATGCTGTTATCTTGCTGCTGAAATAAGCCTCATGTACCAGCACAAGCATACACAATTTTCATGCATACACAGCACATGGCTCCAAATATCCAGCCCACCACCAAAGGATCATGGTGCTATAGGAAGATGACACCCCTATTGACAGACCCATGTACTGATTTATTGACTTGCATAGGGGGACCGCTCCAAAATCCACATGGCACCATGTGCATATCACCCAAGAGAGCTGCAAGGCTCCTGGTACAACCCAGAGGAAGGCAAAATCATTCTGAGACTGGGCTGTTACCAACTGTGATGCATTGCAATAGAGCTGGTCCTGGCTCCTGAGTCACACCTGTACACACATTATTGAGCTGACTTATAATGACCATCATGGGTTTTGGTGTGAAGTGATACCCAGACTTTCCACTGTAATTGCCCTAGCTTGTGATTATGCCATAAGAGTGAATTCTGCTGAAAAGATAACCAAATGTTCAGACTCAAATCTTAAATATTCAAAATTATGGACTTGCTCTGAATATGGAGTGGAGTCTGGAAATATGGAGTCTGCATACATTGTAGACCATTAAAATATATGCCTGCCAACATTTCCTGACAAACCAACTGATTTAAGAAAAGCCTGTTGCTTATATATAGTTTTCACACCTATTTTCAGAGCAATCAATTTGATTAATGGTACAAATAAAACAAGAACTCAAAAAGATCATTATGCACACTCCAGATCATTTAAATTCCACAACCAAACTGATGTCCAGCTTAAGGGACATCCTCTTAATGTTAATATGGTCATCATGCATGGTATCATAGCCCTGAAATTTTACCATAAATGCAAAATAAGTATGGTAATGTTGTAATCCATGCCACCACAAACATGGACATCCTATTTGTATCAGCTATGTACGGGTAGTCAAGGGCAACTTGTGGAGGCACCCAAGATACCCCTGATCTGCTGCAGAACATGCTCAGTGGAACTAAGCCCAGTTTGAATATACTGACATCCTTATTCGGACAATAGCAATATATTACTATTGTGTTATGCTACTGACATTATCTTTTTGAATGTCTGCCTGCAAAGAACCCAGACAGGGAACAAGATTAGGTGTATATTGCCAACATTCTAGCTGTATAGGATGATTTTCATCTTTGCCATTCATAGTGAAGTTGTCAACTTGAATCTAAGTTTCCAATCCAGTACTCCTGCTCCAACATTATTCTGACACAATGAATTAGTGAGTTGATAAACCAAGTAAAAACCAGGAGCAAAAATTCAAGGTAATTAATAAGCAATTAATGCTTAATTACTATCCTTTTCAATAAGTACCTGAAGGAACTGCAGCATGTGATTTCCTGGTTATATGCTTATAGAGAGGCAATCTTCCAATTACCCTTTTCAAGCTTAGCAAATAACTGTGTTGAAAGTATTGACATCTTTACACTATTGCCTTTAGCTTGATCACAGCAACACAATGCTGCTGTCTGCATGGCCACTGCACCATGATAACCATTTTGGTGTGCTAGTCTCCATCATGGTTTATGTTAAAACCACAGCTTTTAAACAACCCCACTGAACCCATGACAAATTGGTAACAAGAGCAGCACAATGCAATAAAACAATTTCTTGATGGCCACAATCCTTCGAGCAAGCCCACAGACAACGGTGCACAGCAAACAATGCAAGGCATGCGATTGAGCAACAGCACACATTTTGGGGCTCACATGGTCCGGCATTGTGTCTCCCAGTGCATCCGTTCCCGCAGCCACCACCATCGAACATGTTCGATAAATAACGCGAATGAGCTATATTAATAGATGAGCTTCTATGTGACAGAACACTCCTGCCCACAAACTATCGCATGGGACCTTGTGCTAATGATTCCGGCCCGCAGCCCCTATTCCCCCCTCCAGCAGGTTCCTCAGCACATTCCCATGCTTATCTCGCTTCCACTTATATCATTGGGTGACGCGTTTGTGCGCTATAGTTAAGTCTGATAAAAGGTTCAAAATCTGCCACCAGGGTAGCCGTGATCCAGCGTGCGTTTTTTGCAAGTATGCTGTTAGGTCTTGTAATATCTAAAAATTCTTATGGTTCTTTGTAAAAGTATTATGAAATAAATATTGAACCCTATTTAAATATGAAAATTGATTCAAAATTAGTAGAATTCAAGTGATAGGTTTCAAAATGAGCACATACTTCTACTTGTGATGCAGTTTTTGTCTCACTAAGGGCAACTCGGAAACCTTTCAGTTTCAATCATTGCGCTTTTAAGGCAAACTTCAACCACAACATTGTCGCCCCAGTTTGTGGAAATTGATTGTGGAAAATGAGATACTGGTGTGCGCGGTAAATGCAGACGCTTGTGCTCAGTCAGAAGGGGTCGTGAAGGTGATTGTTATAAGGCGAACTCTATATGGTGTGCAGATGGTTGGACCTCTTAACCCCCATGGGATCCTTAAAGTCAAAAGTGGAATGGCCGATTCTTCATCTGTTTGCTTTATTTCGCACACACCACAACTTGACAAAAGGACTGATACCATTTAGAGCCGTATTCTACTCTGTAGCAATTACCTCATCATTACAGCCCTCTATATAAAAGAATTGATGCATGCCGAGACCACTGTACATAACTGTTCTGCTTTTTGAGATCATAGAAGTCTGTAAGTTGATTTGGTTTGCACAGATGGAAGTTTCTGAGCATCTTTGTAGTTTCAAACATGATGGTCAGGGTTTTAGCTTGCTGACTCATGGAGTGCAAGCAGAACCAGTGAGGTAAATTCAGATTGTTTTTGCCTTGGATGAGCTTAGTGATCAGTCACCTGCTTTTTGCTGCTGACATAGATCACATGCTGCAAAATAGTAGCTATATTGGTGCATAATGAGTTTGTTGAAAAAAATGCAAGTACACCAGGTCACAGAGCGGTGCCCTGATACAACCCTGTGGTAGTTGAAAGTTTTGTAGAATGTATGAGCTTAATTTAGCTGTTAAATGCTTGTATCTACTGGCAATGACATGCATGGAGGTTACAAGCACTGTTTGGCAATCTTGGAGTATAAGTGTGGTAAAAATGATGATGTGATCAACTTATCAACATTTTGATGGCTCTTAGCATGAATAAACAAACTTTTCTGGGGACAAAAGGAAAAAGGCATTCTTCAAGTAGTGCATGCTTTTTAAAAAAGTGTTGTCTGTAGCTGTGTTGGTTGCTGACAAGCAAGTGGCGTGCATGGTGTGTAAGCATCTCTGATATGGTTAGCACATAAATTTATGGTCTACTTACATATTTGGATCAGGTGTTTAGATCTTTTGTCTTTAGAAGTGCAGAAATAAATGCATGTTTCCACTGCTGAGGAACATGTCCATTTAGGAGACAGGACTTAGCAATGCCTAACAGGATATGCTTGATGGCACTGAGACACTCCTGGAAAACTGGCATTTATGCTGCCATCACAGACCAATTCTGATGATTTCATGGAGAACACCCAATACCAGACATAGTCAAGCACTGGAGGAGGCATATGAAAGGTACATCTGGCTACTCATGTCAGTGACCCATACATCTTGTTGAGCTGGCGGGAACACAGCTATGGAGCCTGCTATGCATCCATTCATTCCCTTGGAATGGCTGTTTAGGCTCAATGCATCTGGTTTCACTTCAGGAAAAGTGGTTGAGATGTCATGGCAGCTACAATCAGCTTGCAAGGTCACCACGTGCCAGAAAGGTCAACCTTCTGGCTACTATGCAAAATTGTTTGCATGTTGTACCAAAACATTGCATGGTTTTGGTCATCTCATTTGTACATGCATATCTCAATTTGGAAAAATTGAACATGTACCATAATGCCTTTTTTACAACTATCACTTTACTTTGGTTTGGTTTTAGTTGTCTCTTTAGGTCAGACATCTTTGCATTAATACATGCCAAATTTGAAAAGATCATGTGCCCATGTGTTTCCTCCTTATATACAATATTGCCAATAATTTTACAAACAGCCCCATCACTCACAGAGTCCAAATGTTTGTATATCCCACTTTTGTGGATGCTACCAACCAAACAGGGGTTCAAGCCAGAGTCATTGAGCTTTTATTGACTTCACTACAGCTCCTGCCCAGGCACGGGCTCCTGTACTCCAACTCAGCAGCACTACTGGCAACTCAGATGTCTTAATTTCAAGTGACAGAGGGGGCAGCGTGCTCAGCCCAGCCGTGCATGGAGCAGCCCTCTGGCAAGGGATGAGCTAAGACCAGACTGGCAATTTGCTGTATGACAAATGTTGTATGCCACAAAAAGCTGCCAGCCGAACACTGTTGAGCAAAAATTGTGTATTATCATCCAAAATTCTGAAAAATGGGCTGCTTAACTGAAATGCACAACCACAATGGTAGATCATGGTGCAGTAGTGGCTTTTGCTTGGCATGGTGTAGTTTGTGGCCCAGAGGACTTGCTAAAGAAAATTATTGTTCTGTACCTGTCGTGGCTTCAAGCAAGACCTGGGCACAAAGCTCTTGCTTGTGTACTTAATTTGGTATCCACTGAAATATAATTAACTTCATATCCAGTGAAATCTACTTTACTTTTCATTCAGTGAAATCCTTACTAGTGATTATCTGACCACCATATGACCACAGCTTGTTGTTTCAGATAGAGCTGCCATCAGTATGTCTTGGTGCCTAAATACAGCAAGAAGGCTCACCAGCCTTCCTGTTATGGGGATGAGACTTGGTATGGTAAGTGAAATGATTGTGTCAAATGCAGCAAATTTGACAGCTTAGAACTGACTTCTCCTCATTGCACATTGTCTCCTCTCACATGGCTGTCATGCAGATGGTCCAAGTGCTGGCCATTCTGCCCCTGCTGTCACACCCATTCTGTTGTGTCTGTTTGGCCGTGTCCCATCTGGTAGCTGTGACGCCGTCTGACCGTCGTCCGTCGGCAGGGCCGGCGCGGCCTGTACGTGCGCCAGCTACCGCCGCCGCCGGACGCCCAGCTGCCCGAGGTGGAGCCGGTGGAGGTGGACTGGCGCCACGTGGAGAGGCTGCTGCCCCGAGAGACGGTGCCGGTGCCGGCGGCCAAGTCACGCTACCCCTCCGGCTGGACCCCGCAGCAAGGTAGCGTGGCCTGCGAGTGGCCGCCGGTTCGTCCGAGCCTGCCTCCTGTGACGATGATGCCTCTGAGCCTCTGAGCCGATGATGCCTCGCCTCTGAGCAATAATGCAAGGACGCACGAGGTCCGCCAGCAGACAACAATATGGCTTATCTTCACGCATGGGCACGTGTGTGAGTAAGACTTCTGGTGGCATGCAATCGATGCAGTTTTGCCACGCCAATGTCCTGTGAGTTGGAGATGCAGCGTCACACATCTCGGGCCACGTGCGACGGCTCTGACCAGACCGGCCGCCTCACCGCCGCTGGCCGTGCGCCGCAGGCAGCTCGGAGCTGACGTACTCCGTACGGAGATCGGTGAACCACATGCTGCCGGTGTACCTGAAGATCAAGGAAACGGCGTGAAGCGTATCACCATGGTCAGGAACGTCCGAGGCGACGTCTGGGTGAGTTTGGCGCGCCGCGCAACCTCCCGGTCCGGAGGGCGACCTCCCGGTCCCGAGGGCGACCTCCGGGTCCCAACGGTGACCTTCCGGTCCGGGCGGGGATATCCCAGTGTCGAGGACGACCTCCCGGTTAGAGGCGACCATCCGTTTCCCGAGGACGACCTCCCAGTCCCGAGGACGACCTCCTGGTCCTGAGGGCGACCTCCCGGTTCCTAGGGCGACCTCCCGGTCCCGAGGGCGACCTCCCGATCCCGAGGGCGACCTCCGGGTCCCAACGGTGACCTTCCGGTCCGGGCGGAGATATCCCAGTCCCGAGGACGACCTCCCGGTTAGAGAGGCGACCTCGCGGTCTCGAGGGCGACCTCCCGGTTCCTAGGGCGACCTCCCGGTCCCGAGGGCGACCTCCCGGTCCCGAGGGCGACCTCCCGGTTCCGAGGGCGACCCGCGGCGTGCCGGTCACGCAGAGTCACAGTCGTGAGGTGCGGTCTTGTGGCGTGTCGCTCCGAATCGCCGCCGTCCTGTGCAGTATGGCCCCCAGATGTGGCGTGTTGCATCGCGACGTGCTCTGAGCCAGTGCTGTTCGCAGCTGTTTCACAACGAGCTGAAGCGGCACCTGGAGGCGGTCAATGAGAAGTTTATCGCCTCGCAAGTGAACGAGATGGCTCAGTACGTGCAGTTCAAGGGCGAGTACGTGACCCAGGTCAAACAGTGGATGCGAGAGCGGGGCTTGTAGCCGACGGAAGGCGCCCCAGCAGACGGCGTGTGCTCGACGTCTTGCGCGCGTTTCGGAGCGAGGTAAAGCGGCCTATGGACACCGCGGTGCTGCAACATGTCAAGTGAATCTTCGATGAATGGAAAGTGGTGTTGAACGCGTGTTTTGTGGTACTGGGGTCAGCACGACTGACACGGCATGACACGACCCACCTACATTAATTCTCATTCGCCTCTGCTTTGCCCACTGTCTGATCGCACAATGGGACATGCTGTGAGGACATCTGGTCTCGAGCTGGTTCCTTGCCAGCTTCGTGGTCGGGGAACGCGTCCGCGCTGGCGACGCCGTTGGCCTCGGGGGGGGGGGGGGGATGTTGATCCTGGCGAGCTGTTGTTCCCAATCCTCACTCCGAGGGGCAAAGAGAACCGTCAGGAACAATCTCACGTTACTGATGCGTTCAGTCGCAATCTGCGTGGCGCGGCGACGGCGGACGGCGGAAAAACAGCGTGGCATGTAAAGATTACCTTTATTTCGAGGTGTTTCAAAACACGGCGTGAGCGATCTACCGATACTGTAGCGGTAAGACAAGGTCGGATATTTGTACAATGCGAAGCGGCATGCCCCACCCTCGTGCCCCGTCCCTTCACCTACAACTTCCGTAGCTACCATGGCAACGCCCGTTTCACCAGGGAGCAGCGCTAGGGAGAGGCGACTATCCGCAAGCCTCAGCTGGCTAAAATCATGGCACGTGCCCCCACCTCCTACAGCGTCCTGCACCCCCGCGGGCGACCCGCCCACTCCCGGACTCCGTCTGCTGACGGACTGTAACAAACGCCCACGCGACCCGCGGCGGTAACAGGCGGCATGTGCACGGCGGGGTGGCAAGCGAGGTAGCCACTTGTTCGAGTACCGTTCTACGTCCACTACAGTTAATATCTGTCGGACCAAATTGTCCGCGGTCTTCATTGCACGTGGCCGGACGCGGCGGCGGCGGCCGGCCGGCGGCCGTGGTGCGCCGGCTGGCCGCCAGAGGCGTTGGCGGCGCCGCCTAGTGGTCCAGGATGCGCAGGTTGCCCGATATGACCTTGTTCTCGAGCCGCGCGCCGTCCGGGATGTCGATTCGGTCGCCATGGTTCGCCACGATGATCACCGCACCCTGCCGCGCACCGCCGTGTCAGTGCCGTGTCAGCGCGGGACGGTGTCATGTCACGCACGATGTCATGTCAGAACCACAGACGGTAGCGCGCTGGCGCCTCGCGGCGCCAAATCGAGCCAACAGAGCGAGTCGTGCGCTTGTACATTTCACAGAGACACAGCGCAGCTTGTGTGACGGAGGCCAGCCTGCCGCGACATCGTTGAAGAAGCGCACCGTCCAAATCACGCCTCCTTTGTTCTGCCGGGGCTCGTTTCGGTTTGTCCAGCTTCAGTCGCTGTGAGATTTGGGCGTTCACACCCCAGAGGTGGTTTTGTTCAGGCCTGCACGTAATTACCGGTGTTCAGTTCGCCCTGATGTCCCACCCGCCCACGACCTATGCAAAACAATCCAAGCTGCCGAAATATTACTGCGGTCCGGCGTTTACGCCAGTGCGGCGAAAATGGGATCCAAAGATCACCGACGCCACGTCACGGCGCCACGGCGTGACGTCACCCACCCTCAGCGAGACGTCCTTGCCGAACGTGACGTCACCAGAGACGGTCAGATGGTCCAGCTCCATGATGTCCGGGATGGAGGCGAACCGCTTCAGGAAGTGGGCCACCTGGCGGCGGGCGCAAGCGGTCACGCCGTCACGCTCGTCAACCCGTCACGTCCGCCACGTCCGTCACGCTCGTCAACCCGTCACGTCCGCCACGTGCGTCACGTGCGTCACGTCCGTCACCCGACGCTAAACAGCAGTGCGACTGAGGCGCCCTAAAGCCCCGGTCGCCGGTCGGGCTCGCCGGCCAGGGACTGCCATTCGCCTAACGGCCGGCCCGGTCTGGGGCGAAATGGGGTGGGGTGGGGTGTGCGGGTTGGGTGTGTGGAAAGGACTTGAGGCGACCACAGGGTGTGACAGAAGCAGTAAGTGCAGTGAGTGCAGCGTTGCCCTTTGAACGCTACACGTACCTCTCAAAGCAGGAAAATATGTTTGCACCGTTCAACACAGTTTTGGAATGCTGCTGCTGTTGACTGCCTCTGGTGCCGCCACGCTCCGGCGATACCAAGAATACTTTAACAAGGAGGACATGAACTTTGGAGATACTAACGAACTTCTCAGACTTAGTACTGTCAGCTCATCCATGTTAGAATTCGCTGCAAACTCGACCATTTTGATCCATCCAACGCGTTTTAAAGACGTACAGTACACATCAACGAGAGTAAAACTTACCTTGATCTACAAGTTTGACCAACGGAGAGCCGCCAGCGTCCATCAGAAAATGCATGAATATGCTGCCTGAAGGAAAATGAAAACAAAACGAATCCAGAACCCCTCCCCCCCACCTCCCCCACGACCGCGCGTCGCCGCGTTTCAGGCCGGGTCTCTGCGCGTGGTGTCGCTCACCTTAGCGAAGTGGTTGGGACCGAGCTTGACCAGTGGGGTGGAGGCGAACTGTCGCAGCGGCGACATGACCAGATTGCCCTGATTCAGGTTGTAGAGGTTCGACATCACCAGGAGCAGGTCGTCCGTCTTCTTCACCGGCAGGAAGCGCCGCCGGGGCACGTTGATGCCTGGCGCGAGGGAACAGCAGACGTCATGACACCGCACTGGTCGAGCCGGACGAGCAGCTCTGACTGTCACCAATGCCGGCCCATCGCACCGGCCCAGCTAGACGAGGCAGCTCTGACTGTCACCAATGCCGCCCCATCGCACAGGCCGAGCTAGAAGAACAGCTCCGACTCTCACCAATGCCGCCCCATCGCACAGGCCGAGCTAGAAGAACAGCTCCGACTGTCACCAATACCGAACCATCGGCCCGGTCGAAGGCGACGGACTGAACCAACACGGCGTCTGGTGTCTGACCCCTGCCACGTGTAAATGAAAACCGCACGAGACATACACGCGAGCGAGACAGACAAACCATGAGCTTTGGAGAACATATAGAAATACGAGAATCTGCCAGACGGCCGCCACAGCAGACAGGCGGCACGGCGGCGGGGGCTGACGGCGCCGGAAGAGACTGACCGGTGGCGCCGTTGAAGCACTTCATGGCCGCACCGACGGCCGTCTCCAGCTGGATGACGTTGGTGCCGTTGGGCAGCGTCTTGGGGTTGACGATGATCTCCATGGTGAGCAGCTCCTGCTCCAGCACCCGCTTTACGGCTGCCAGAGTGAACCGGGGTCACGCGCGGGCGGTGGCGGCGACGGCAGCGGCGGTGACGGTTGCGTCATCATCGATGGAGAGGAACGGTTCGTGGAATGAAGTGTCTAGTCGTGGGAATGCCGTAGCTGGGGCCTTTCAGCGGGCGCGATGACGTCGTCTGGGATGTTAGTACTCCACGGTACAGATTAGAGATCCGTGATTTCGAAAGTGTCGCAGGTATCGCATAGTCGCAGCTTTACCACCTGACGCGACCGACGGCATCGTCTGAGAGGTACCTCACTTAACAGCCCAGAGATAACGAAACTACGGCCAGCCCAAATCGCGATGACCCCTCGTTCCGCCAAGTCCGACCGACACACACGCACGGTCGCTGACGCGGGTTACAAGCACGCCGTCAAGTGGCCGGGCTCACGTGGCTCTCACAGTCGAGCCGAGTTTGAGCCGAGCTGGGCGCATATCGCCGGCCACGTCACGACGGTGGAGGTGACGTAGCCGTTCAGCTTGCACCAACCGGACTGCAGCGCCAGACGCCGCAAGGTGCCGGAGCACCGAGGGGCTTCCTTGTGCAATATCTCACGACACGATCGACTCGGCGACGGTCTATCGGGCAAAGTCTACGAGGCGAGCCTTCGCGCCATATCAGGATCATGTGCAGTGCACTGAAGCACTGCGATACTTGCCGAGAAATTACGGCAGACCTTTGGTAAATTACAAGCACTCGCCGACAATAAAAAGGAGCAGCTGACAAACGCAATGTAAAACTAATTTGCCGTCGTTTATAGCTTATTAACTACTTACCACAGACTGCTATCATTGTAAGCTTCTGAACTAGCTACCACAGTCTCACCTTTAAGATTGACCCACAGATTATTCGTGTTGAAGATCCTAAACTTCTTCACCGACTTGAACTCGTCCACATGCTCCTTGGGCACCTGCGCGATCTCCAGCAGCCGGATCTTCTTCATGTACTCGCAGAGCGTGCCTCCCTGTACAGACGGGTGTGTCATCACCACCGATTCCCGCGGCCGCGCGGCGCCATCTCCCCAGGCCAGTGCTCTCCCCCCTCCCCCTCCCAGCAACGCGAGAGCCCTCCTCGTCCCGTCCCCGTCCCGGTGTGACCCGGCCCCGCGGCGGCTGACCCCTGACCTTGATATCGGCGCGTGTCTTGTCGGTGACCTCCATGAGGAACTCGCAGTGCCGCTCGCCAGACGGCGGGTTCAGCAGCGAGCTCAAGATGGCCGTGTCGACCGTGGCGCCCAGGTTGTCTGAAGCGGAGAAGGCGGGGGGGGGGGGGTCAAGACCGCGACCTGGCACGGGCTGGGTCACGGCCGCGACGGCGACGCCTCCTGAATCAGCGACTCCCCTCCACACAGAGAGGGGGGAGGCGACTTCCAGCGAAGCGACGCTCCGCCCCACAGCAGCCCCATTGCGACACGCGCCGAAGCAGGTCGCGGCATAGTGTCGACCCAGCAGTGGACTGAGCATGATAGGAACGGGCGGCGATGTTACGAGCGCGCCGACCTACCAGGGTTATGTCGCGTATCACGAGTGATGCCTTACCTATGTTGGAAATGAAGACATATTCGCGACCCTCGTCAATGAACTGGTTAAGTAGCCCCGAGTTGTGGAAGGACTGGATAGAAGTCACCGTGACCGGGAGGGTACCACCTGGAAAACAGCAGCCGCTGTAACAGGTGTCATCTTTACAACTGCTAATACGCGCTCCGGACCGATGACCGCAAACAAAGATCCAAATGACAAAATACATGCCAACACGC